CATCATCATCATCATCATCGACAGCATGACATCAGTGTTCAACACCGATGCTTCGCTGCCGCACAACCATGACTTATTTGAAAGCAATATTGTAAAGAAAAGAATAAAGGTGTATGGGAGAGGGACTTAGTGCTAGCTTAACACAATCATTCCGAGGTGCCTACACCTCCAGACATTCACTCAGGCAATCTGGACAGAAACTGACAACAAGAACGCCACTGAAATCGGTTGGCAGCCATATCTTGTAGTGTCTGCGACCAGGCACAGTGAAGATCACGCGGTCCCCACCCTGGAAGGCGAGTAGCACCGACAGCACCCAAGCGTTTCGTGATATATTTCATACGCATCTCTCAGGCCAGTGGTTAGCCACCTCTCTGCTTGCAACAATTTGAATTGGGAATGGAAAACAGCACTCTCTCCGGTAAACGATGTCTCGGCATACGCAACACATATCCTGACCAACGTAGCTTCTGGTGCTGGACACATTCTTTAATGGAAGTACCCGTTGCACAACCGAAAACGCGCTTTCCAACTGCCTCATTAAGGATTCGCCGACACCAACACACACGAGCTTTGGTTGTGAGACAACGATTGTCGGGCACTTGAAGCCGTCTCAGTTCGGCTGCTCGAATAGTCCAAGCCTCACAGCCATTCAGCAAAACAGCCCGTACTGTAGCTTGATACGCACATCCCTTGAGATTCGGGGATACATCATTCTGACGCCATAGGTATCTCAAATTAGTAAACGCGGCCCGAGCCTGCAGATTCGTGTATTCACCTCATCCGTCACACTACATCGAGAGCTCATACAACTTCCAAGATACGTTAAATGACATCAAGTACCTCTCCCTGGATTGTAAGTTACGTGTTCCTTGACTGCACGTCCACGAGCATGACCATACACTTTGTGGGGGCAAAATGCTGCATATATCATCTGTCAAGCAGTTGCTGGTTGAACAGAGTCACATTCGTCAAGAACTAATTATGCGGGCAACTCTCCTCAGGTGACGAAATACACTATTTACTCACTTATATGCAGTTCCTACTGCTACATTTACTGTGTTTACATCATCATTGTGAAACATACGAGCTGTAGTATCACTGAGGATGTGGTAGAAAGCACCGAGAATCCCAGGCAGAGCTGTCAACTGAAGGACACAGGATCTGAAGGACAACAACACGAATTGACTCACATCTTGACACCATGCTCTCCTGGCGGTCTCATAGAACAGAGTATCAGTGAGTCACAAACCACGCCTTATGCTCCGCCGTCCTTTTGTGTCACCAGATATTACTGCACTGTCAGCCCCCTCTATCGACCAATGCGGTAATTACACTACTGCAGTTCGCAAACACTTACCTGGGGGCGATCACTGAACACCTTAGATTTAGTTGAAGAATGGTGTATTGAATTTTCCCAGATTCTGCTTCTGTTCAGTGACTCATTTTGTTTGTAATCGTCCTCGCTTTTGCGCGTCATAACTCACAACCTCGCCCTGTGCATTGCAGCTGCGAAGGAACTCACGTCGTGAACAATTATTTGTGGTCTCAGCGTTGGCTTTGGTTTCCACCTTTTGCTTGTCCAGTTTGTACGGGTTTGGAGGAGCGACTAGCACAAGCGGACCACACAGTCTTTCAAAATTCACATTCACTCTCAACACCGCTCTGTCTCGACCTGCGTTTGCTCTTGCGCTCGCGATTGTGATTTACCTTTGTGGCACCGACAATGCACGTGAGTTATCTTTCCTATCGATTACTCTTGTTGAACTCGATGGTATACGAAAGCTAAATTGTGCATTAGTTCACCTGCCATGTGTGAGACCTCGTTGGGCGACATTTTGTCTTTTTCCTAGAGACACCGGGGACGGGCTGACGAGCGGCTGATGTTAGAAAAACGCAATTTACCATTTCCGAGTAGAGAGAACACCACACAGGCTCCGAGTGAACACAATTGGACCAAACTAGCAACTCATCGAACGAAGCAATTAACGACAAGATTTTATCGACCACTTAGTGCACGTGATTTCGATCCTCGTATCACACTCATTTGACGTGTAGTGTTCTAACACTGGTCGTTTCTCAAGCCCGTCGAAACGAAATTTTGAGAGGTTATTTTATAAGCATTTCTAACTTTGTTCACATTGGTGGACAATTTTGATTGGTTTAAACTTAATCAGAACGGAGAAGGGGAAATGGTCCTGGGGTGTTCAGCACCATGGTTCAATGGACAGTTAATTATCAGTGGGAGCAAAACAGAGTGTGGGACAAATAACCCTTCAAAGAGTAAATCGGTCCCATACGGACAGGCTCATATGCGGCATTTTGTGTTTGTCGATGCAGTGCCTAAATTCTTATTTTCTCTTATTCGCAGAAATGTATAAGGGATAAACCTTTTTCGCTTGCATCCAGCTAGTACACCCGTGCTACAGACAAAAACCTACCAATTTCGACGGCAGTCAGTTCATCCATCGATTTTATCCTGAGCAGTGCTCACCAAGCTAGATTCACGTATATTGCATTTAAGGAATTCAACAATCTTACAATTTTATGAGTGATTTACTTGCCTGGTATTTGGTAAACCTTTCAAAGGTTGTAATCCAATAGAAGAGTTTATTTGACCTGATTCATGGTTATCTTCAATTTGACTTGTTGAAATACAGAGGACCTAGGATCACTGTATCACTTGTCAGCACAAAGTCAGACAACCGTCGGAATGCCCACAACCTGGCAAAAATCGATCGAAATCGTTGTTCCATATATATATATACTTGCATATTTGGTTCATGTAAGCTGATCCGCATGATTGGATCCCTGAAAAGACGGGCTTACCAAAACAGACTTTCTTGTTATCGTGCAACGGTGATACTGCTGATGGGAGAGGCATGCGAGTAGTATGTTATCTCGTAAATCCGCATTGCGTCTCTTGAAAAGTGAGATCTATTACGGACTTGGCGGAGTCGCTGTGTAGCATTTGCTTGGATTTGAGCAACAGTAAGTTAATATCCAGGAGAGTTCAGGAAGGCGCGTTCAAGAGAAAATGGATGTTCAGTTTTTCAAACAAGATGAATATGAGAGTTGTGCTTCCCTGTCCATTAATCTGCAACTGGTCAGTTGACATTTCCCAATAAAGAACTCCGCAGCTAAGGCCTTCTTCCTTTTCAATCGTAGTGAATTCAGAGCCAAGCATCCATTTAGTAGGCGACGGTCATTCAATGGTCATGAACTGCGGACGACCAAAAACAGAGTTCAAACATTAACGATAATCAACCTGACCGAACTGACAGGGTGAGGTTGGTGCCGCACATGTGTGGGTGTATGTATCTGGAAGGTCAGATTCCCGAAAGTAACCACTGAATGCCCGAAATCCACTGGGACCCCCAGCTTCACTAGATGTTGACCAGAGAGACAACGCCCCCTCAATATGCAGCGCGTCACAACCTTGTATCAAAGCCAAACAGTATGGGTCAGCGTTGGTTCAGGTTCAGGTAGTGTCCCTCCATTAAAACAGCTTGAGGCCGTTGTATTTTCGCACTCACGCTCTCGCCCTTGCTTGTTCGGAATGAAGATGTCGTGTTCCCTTCGGTGAGTCTTTTTTCACCACTAGGCACTGGAGCGGGGTCAGGAGTCAGTTACAACAGATTGGCGAATCAGACGAGATAACAGTGCGTGTGTCAGAAAGCAGGATGAGCACAAGCCAGCACGTAGTTAAGTAGCCATAAACAGTCACTTACAGTAGACGGAAACAAGGAATGGAAACGCCGCTGACATGGGCCGGGGGTCATTACTTTGCCACCAGATTACCATTGTCAACCCTTTCCAGCGTTCGTGCTACGCTTTTGTTGTCGCATTTATTAAACAAGATTTTGGAATTTCTTTCGTTTACTAAAGAATGAAGTCTGTCTAAGGTGCTTATGATAGACGGAGCCAAACGGTTACCCACAAGCCGACAAATTCCACTTTTGCGCCGAGTTGTTTATCAGCCTGTCGCCTGGTAGACTGCTTACCCATCAGGTTCTATCATGCGCCCATCTCTACAAATCGAAACCATGAAGTACTTTAAAAGAACACCCTGTGACCATCTTTGTTGCCATCTCAGGAAAATCCCACTACCGACGCGAAGATCGAACAGAGATTTTTGGTGTTGGAGAGGTGCATTGCAAATTGGTTTCAGTTTCTTTTTCAGAGGACTGGCACCTGCACGCCACTTTTTGGTATGGAAGCGCCGGTAATTTCAGCGGTGTTACATGGAGTGAGCAGAGTATCGACGTGTGTGCGTGTATTGCCAATCTCTTTGATGTATACACATACCAAACGATAGTTCCAAAAACCGTTTTTTACCGTTGAAATTGATTTCAAGGTCGTCAGACAACCGCTCGCAACGTCAGTTTGGTACTGTCAAGCTTAATCCCCATTTCTCCACAACATATAGCCTATTTCAATGCGTTTCTCAGCTGGCCCGGATTCCGACTGCCCTCACAGTTGACCTATGGATTGTCTCTCATACATCCAATTTACGTCTACCTCATTCTAATGAGACTTCAAACGCCTATTACGTTGAGCAGTGCAACTCTGGTACGTCGCTTTTCCGGTGGACATCTTTTGATTCAAATTTATTTTCAACATGTACGCACTCAGCAGGAAGAACAGTCTGTGAATGGTTGGGGCAGATCGAAACCAGACTGTTGAATTGGGCTTGCTCAAATCATTTTCAAACTCCAGAGACTTAGGTCCCGTGTATCCATCTCAATAGAACTGAGGAGAAACAGATTTCGGGACATTTTAACAGTTCGTTTATCGTCGGTCGTCGTGGATTTACCACAAGTGGATGCAGAACGACTGAGAGCAGTAGTACTGTTACACAGAAAACAACCATATGATTGTACTAATGTCAACTGAAAGATGCCAAGGTCAGTCTGGCCGTCTGGGTTTACACCCGGAGGACATCTGGATTACATAGTTTGGAACGTGTCTTGCGAGGAGTTTTCAGCAACCTTATGAGTAGTGCCTTACGATATCTCGAATATCGTAGCGACTGGAACATGAGGCGGCCTGTTGCAGCACATTCAGTTGCCTGGAGACATCAAAACCGAGAGAATCAGTTGGGTTCCAGGTGAGTCTCTGGAAAAATAAATTAGTTTGCAATTAGTTCGCTAGTCTCGCAACTTGTTGCGCAACCCACCACCACTGTGATTCGACCCTATAAACGTAGCCGCCTAACTCCGCCCCGAGTGCGGGAACTGCAGACAGGATTTACATTGTACATTCACATTTGTGCAGTTCTTTTGTCGTCCCTGGTCAGAAGTACCTGGTCTACAGGTCCCCTTTTCGATGTTCATGTAGTCGATCTTCAATTGAAGAAATTAATGTTATTAACAATCCACCTTAATTTACAAATTATGTTGACATTAACTGAAGATTCAAAGGAATCCCAGTGGAATCTCTCGCTTGCCATATTATTGAACTGAGTGTACTGCACAAAGTCCGTCTCATTATTCAGTCGGTATGATGGAGGAGATATCTGAGTATATTTTGTAGACGCAACATACTACTAGCAAGGTTGGTAAAACTTCCGCGAGCCAACGACCCACTTTTATTTCTTCTTAGGGTTCAGCGAGCAGATAGAATGCTCGTCGTGTGTTCTATAGAACATATGTGCGATATACAGTTGACGGAATCTAGGGAGTTCCATCGCCTAAAATGCCTCACGATGGGTAGTAGGTTGTCGAATTTTATGTTACGTTAAGAAATAAATGTCTTTGTTATTGACTAATCGATGGAGGTTATTTGGAACTAAACTCTACTCTGGTCTCTACTGCGCGGTCTGGATAACCGTAAATATTTATAGTTTTAAGGGTTCCTTCCGTTGCCCCTTTTGATACGCACCAGGTAGTATGCTTGCTCTATAGGACAAAGTGTTTATCAGCCCAATTTAATGAACAGCTGGAGTGTAACTCGAGGAGGATATATTCAGAACACTCCACGTAACCTGCGGTAGGCAGAATGCTCGTGCGGAAATCTCAGTAGTTATCGGCTAAGGAAACAAAAGCGATTAGGCCACTCTGACATTGATTAGGGGGTATGCAGAAATCAAAAATTCACTCTCTGCTCAACAGTGTTTCTACGCTCGATTGCAGGTGGTCCCCACATATTCCATCGGTGACTGGGGGCATTTCACAATCGTGCACTAGTCACTAGTCAAACCGTTTTAAAAATCGGGTATAATTCACGCACTCTTTTGAAGCAAACCATGCGTTTCATTGTTGCAGCCTCGGACAACATTTGTAGATGTGGAACATGAAAGTTTCTAAGTTGGCTTAGTCTTATTGCCACAGCTTAAGCCTTGAACTCTAGGTGAGGCGCTGATGTCAGTTTTAGCACGATTCGAAGAGCTTAGCAATCGAAGTCTCCCATGAAAAGCCACGTCAGAGGTGATTTCACAACCCGGAAACTTGCAACGGCCTTTTATTTAGCGGCGAGCTGGTTTCTGTCCCCACAAAAGCCTCCCAAGATGAAGGAGATTGTATGCCTACTTCGTCGTTAAGAAATATACGGATTGTGGAGTGTGATGTCCATTAGCACAGAAACAAACAACAGATATCTGCAACATTCCCTTGGAAATCTCAGCGTTTACTTACAGTGAAACAGATTTACACTGGATGTTTCAAAAATCAATAATTTATTGTTGAGTTCACCTTCCCGATTGCACCATCCTTTTTATGCAGGTAATATTGTTCGTTGCCGTATCGGTAATCAGCTTCATCAGTTCGTTCTTCCTCTTTTTGGTCACTGAAATACCGGTGAGAACACTTGAACAGTTTTATGGACGCAGGTGAAAAAACTCCTGTCAGATGTCGGTGGAATAGTATTTTCGTTAGTTTATTTTTATGGACAAACTGTGCAGATTGTTTTAACTTGTTTATAAAATACATATTTTGATTTCGTTTCCGTCGGAGATTTTTACTCGAGGGGCTGAAAAGTCAACTTCTTAGAAGATCAACAAACATCACTCACAATAAATACATAAAGGGCTCATGGAAAGAGCACGCTTCAAGGACATCACAAAACGGAAATACCAAGACAGGTGACGAGTCATAAGGTACAGTTCAGCATCAACCTCCGAGGTTTTTTCCATTTCAGAACATTTTGTTGTTTTGGATGTTTCCATACGAAGCTACAGGTGTCTCGGTAGGACGTCGGAGATAAGATGTATCAGGTGGAAACCTTGTGTAACCATGTATACTACTGATTGAGCATGTGAGTAGTGTCCGGTTGGGTGTCACAGCGCCGTCCCCGCATCGGATGAGAGACTGGTAAAAAAAAACTCTGGCACCGAGTTGTGGTGCTCGTTCACTGCCGTTTAGTAATCAAAGAGCATCAAGGAATAGTTTGTTTCACAGACAGTTTAATGTCTCCGACTTAACTGGCCAGTTGATAGATACGTTGCACTTAAATCGAATGTTCCGTTCAAAATATGCGTTGCATTCCGGCCTCACTTCTACGCACTTGAGTGGTTCATTGAATTCGCCCCCCCCCCAGTTGTTCTGTTCAGAATCGCGCATTTGCTTGTTGCCCTGTTGTCTGCATTGTCTCCGTTTGGGTGGCCGGCTGAACAGCTGTCTATATAGAACAAATATGTTTTTCTACTGAATTTGGTGGCAAGCTTACCAGCAGAAGAAATCATACCATGACACTTTGCCAAGATTAAGGAAGTTACCACTTCTCAGTTGAAAAAACGTCCATAGGCTTTCCGTGTAAGAACAAAAAGAGAGCGGGAGTTCTTTGAAACGCACTACTCGAAAATAAACACAGCAGTGTCGTTCCGATTTTCTGTACCATAGGAAGCCAGAAGAGGACACCAAGATTAGCCTTAAAACATCTAGGAAGCCGTCAAAATTTTTTGGGCTATGGAAACATGTATGACGAGCAGCGTTATGGGAAACGTAATGTGGTGAAAGCGATTGAATGGTTCTGTCCTGCTCCTTCGACACCTTATCACCATTATCATCATTATCATCGGATGCAGCAACAACAGTGTTAATACTGGTGCTTCACTGCCGTGAAACTACAAATTCTCTCATATTATATTCATAATCTTAGAGTGGATCTTAGTGTGGATTCCATACTGGCCCATCGCGAGAATTCCGAGGTTCCAAAGCCTCTAGACCATGAACCAGACTGTTTGGAAAGGAACTGAGAGTGCAAACGCCAATGACATAAATAGACGAGTATTTCTTGCAATGTGAACCAGACGTTTGGAAAGGAACTGAGAGTGCAAACGCCAATGACATAAATAGACGAGTATTTCTTGCAATGTCGCGGGCCGAGTGCAGGAGGGGTCGGGGGGATCTCATCCTGGAAGGCATAAAACACCAACAGCACACAAACTCTTCGTAACCTCTTCTACACCCTTCTACCAAGTCACATGTCATCCACCCCGCGGTTCGCGCCATTCCAAGTATCAGGAAGGTTAGGTTCCTGAAAGCAAACCTACTGAGACCCTAAAACTCCACCAAAATCTCAATAGGAAAGCCTGGAAGCATCCAGGCCAATGAAGTATTCAGTCAATTCAGCTCCAGCCTGTAAGATTTTAAGTAATACCGGGGAAATACCGTGAAGACCAAAGAACGGAATTACTCTAGGATAAACTAGCAGGTAAATCTGAAGAACGATCAGGCGAGTATCGGTCGGATCGGTAACCGTAAGAAGAATGTAAACCGAGACGAGTAAAACTCACAAATGGACCGATAAGGTGTACTCACTTTACAGTTAAGCATGACAAGACAGACTATCAACCAGGCATAGCAGAAGGTAACGAACTGAGTAGAAATATTCCACAAAAAGCTGCAGTTATTGAAAAGATTAAATTCAAGTAGAGGAGACTTCATGTTCGTCCAAAAAGAAGCAATTTGTCGCGTGAATACAAGAGATAAAAAATCTAATGAAAGTCAAAAATAGGCGAACTAACTTTGTGGAAAAAATCAGCTTTTCAAGGCGTGTAGAGAAAATACTGAGAGAGGACGAATAAAACTTTTCTAGCGTAGACCAAAGAGTTTTTCACAGGCCAAAATCGGCGACTCTGTCATCATCGAGAGTACGTAGGCAAATCCGTAGCTCAGTGGAAAAGCTGCGAGAAGGAGGGAGACCTAAAAAGAAAACGAAAAATGCTGTGTCATTCTCGTGTTCATTAAGTCTACATTTAGTGATAGCTTATTGAGCTAATACGGTTTGAAGTGGGATTGCTCGAGTTAATCGTTACGAAACTAGTTTGAGTGCGTATTGATTTAGTTGAGCCCCTGAAACACTGGGACGAGAAGCTGTGGAGCAACACAGATGCCGCTGGTACTGGCATCCGGCGTTTTCGTGAGAACCGGACAGCTGGAATCTGCAGCTTACCGGTAGGAGTGGTCGGGG